TGCGTAAAAAAAGATCTCGCTGCTTGCTGCAGGAGAAGAGTTGACAAACTACTGCTATATTTTCCAACACGTCTCACTCTCTGAGCAAACCGGATACAAAAATGTGTGGTTGCTAATTGCATTAGATGGACCAATATTGAAGAAACGAATACTTTTTTAAATTATGCTATTGACTGGCTGAGTGCAGTTTGCTGTCGAGCGAATAACTCTTTATGTTCCCAACAATTCTCTCTCTGACTTTTCTCTCTTCTTTTCTGCCTGAAATTGCTGAAGCAGATCCATTGTACAAAGTAGCCAGTCGGTGTTCTTGCATTTTTTGCCCCCATGCCTGCTCCATTAATACTCGTCATTTGCATTAATTGCCACCATGACCCAAGAAAAGAACTAGAGTGTAAAAAGTTTTTATGACATATTCAACCAAATTCTGGACCCGCTTTATACACGGAGTGCCCATTGAGGGATCGGCTCTCTAACACAAACCGATCCCCAACCGATCGACAACCGATCGCCCACCGACCGCCCGACATGTCGCCTGAAAACAAACACATTTATTGTTTTTGAGGTGTCGAGTCGGGCGATCGGTTTGTGCCACGGTAGCCGCTTTGTGCCCCCAATCTGGCTTGCAAACCGAACTGAACCGAACTGAACCGAACTGAACCGAACCGATCGTGCAAATGGGCACTGGGTATTAGATCACTTTGAAGTCGAGGAGTTAGTTTGTTTTCGGGATACTGCGCTGAGGACATCGCAAGAGGGGCAGACCAAAAGTGACCTGGAGACCCACAGTAGAGTCTGAAATGAAGTCCAGGAACCTTTCGTGGGGGGACGTTGGCCAAGATGGCCCAAAACAGACCGAGCTGGAGATCCTTTGCTGCTGCCCTAAACGCCAGTGGCGTAACGGGTAGTAAGTAAGTAAATAATACTGCTCTGAGACGAAGTATTTTCAGGACCGACAGGAAAATTAGGACCAGATTCAATTTTAAAACCCCGACCTCCCACAACTGAGGTTAAAGTTTGCTACCTAGTTACGTCGTGCTTTGGCCACTTTCACTTTTTAAAGCTACTTAAACACATGTGAAGAATAAGGTAAAAAATGAAATCACTAATGTTTACTTTCAATAGGAGCTTGTTCTATTTAAGTATGCTAGCTTTTAAAGCTTATAATGGCAAAGACAAGGCAGTGTGATATTGTTATGAAGACAAATGAGATTAATTCTCGTGATTCACCAGCATTGTAAAGAACAATTAATAAGAATGCTTATGTGTTGAAAAACATCAACATTTGAAGATAATATAATGGAAGAGGAGAGAAGATAGCTTACAAAAGTTTAATGAAGTTATTTTTTAAACAAAAGGCAGTTTAATTTTGCAATTGAGATGTCGCTCTTGAGGGAACTGAGCCACTGAACACAAATTTGGACGTGTTGAGGAGGTGGAGGTTATTTTAGATTGAGTTAATGTCGTGCATAATAAGTTTGAAAGAATGAATTATAATTTTCAACGCTGTAACTCTATCTACGAGACACGATGTTCGATTATAAGACCCCTCTCCGATAGAATAGAACGATGATGGTGGAGAGATTTGAAAACTCAAAAAAGCAACCAAACAACAATAAGAAAAAGCATAAAAAAGAACAAGCAAACAAAACCACCAAAAATTCAAGAACTGCTGGGACCCAACAAGGATACTCCATACCGCAGTGCAAATTGACACCAACTGAACTAACAGAAAGTCCCGCTCTAGATTTTAACACTTTGAATAATCAATTATAACTTTTAGAAATATTTAAACAAACATTGCGCACGTTTCAACGTGGCATAGCTCTGTGTGCTTTCCACACTTGCCTTGGATTAGGCTTGTTTTAAAAGGATTTTTTGTATAGAGTACTCAATTAGGGATATTTTTTTGTTCCAGAACGGTTTTCATGCTACATTGTCATGAGGAAGAAGGGAAATGGGAGAGAACATCCTTTCGTTTCGGTTTACACCAGCCGTGAAAAATGAAGCGTTTTAGTTTCAGAAGCGAACTGGCGTTTCATCGATTTTTCAGTATTATGTAACTAATAAAATGGAAGCCATTTTGAGCATACCTTCACTCAAACTGCTGATACAAAAGTAGAGCATGTAAAAGAAGAGTTAGTACTTTTATTCTTTTTATGAAAAAATCTGACTATATCAAGGAGTAAAAAAGGGAAGCACAGAGAGAGAGAGAGAGACACACACACACACACAGAGAGAGAGAGAGAGAGAGAGAGAGAGAGAGAGAGAGAGAGAGAGAGAGAGAGAGGGAGCAAGAGAGAGAGAGAGAGACAGAGAGAGACAGAGAGAGAAAGAGAGACAGAGAGAGCAATTGGAAGAGAAAGACAGAGAAAGACAGAGAAAGACAGAGAAAGACAGAGAAAGACAGAGAAAGACAGAGAAAGACAGAGGAAGACAGAGAAAGAGGGGGTGGGGGGAGGGGGGGCTGCTGCTCAAAGATACAAAGAGAAAGAGAAACCGAGACAGAGACAGGGATAGGCATTCAAAGAAACCGGAAGTATGCTGATTTTTTCTTCGCCCGTAATGAGACATGTTCAAGACAAATTAGAAACAAATTTGCCGAGGGCTTATTCCTTAAATCAATTTTTCTTCGCAACTATTTACAGTAAAAAGACTTAAGAAGTATTAATTTCAAGTCAATTGCAACTCTTATTAACTATGGCTGAAGGCGTTTGAGCTTATTTTTGGACACCTGAATTATTGCCATGTTCTTACATGCTTGACTTGGAGGCCTGAGCTAGAAGTTTAACTCATCCTGTTTTTCTGTATCATAAAAGACAACAAGATTCAAGCTGAAATTATTGACAGGAGCAGATTTCTGATATTAACTCCAACTTGTGATAAACAATAGTTTGGTAAGTCCGTTATTTACGAGATTTAAATGCTTTTATGAACAAGTACAAAATGAGAATAACGTGAATTAATGCTTTAGCAATTATAACAATAATAATAATAATAATAATAATAATAATAATAATAATAATAATAATAATAATAATAATAATAATAATAATAATAATAATAATAATAATAATAATAATAATTCACGTCGACATTAAAAATATAAGTTCTTCTATTTTGGGACATTGGCATATTTTTCAAAACCATGCCATTGAACCCAAATGAGTAAAGATAACTGCTTACTAACTCAAATCGATGGATGTAACGCGATTGTAATGATGGAAGTAAGGTAGGTGCACATACAATAATCCCTTTCTGTCTTATTGTTTTGCTTCTTGGATCCAGAACTTTTAATCGTCTTTTGAAT